TTCAAGATCAAAGTATGCAGAAGTTGAATGCTCTGCGAGTAAAAAAAATTACATATACCATTGAATACTTCTCACAACAGTGGACTAGGCAGCGTGATAGTCAACTGCGTGCCATGGTAATTGAGGATTCAAAACTCTTGAACGAAAAACTGAATAGACTTGTACATTTGGAAGAAAAGTATCAAGAGACGAAGTTGAGCTCTTTCTCTTGAATGAAGAGATATCTATTGTCTGAGATTTGTGTGATTTAGAGATGAGTTCACAATATTACAGGCTAAACCAAGACGCCGCCAAACAGCGGCTGATAAACGCAAACTGGCTCACTTGCCACAGACACTGTTGATCTGTGAAGAAGAGATCAACGAGTTGGTCCACAACCTTGGAAGTGATCATTACAGGGAAATGGCTAACACCTCAAGTGTGTACAATACCAAACTTGCTCTCATTATTGAAAACAATATATCTGATCTTACGTTTATTTCCCTTATTCCATTCAGCACCAAAAGGTAAATTACTGATCAGGGTACGAGTTGCAAAATCAAAGCTATATGGGTCAAAAGTTGATGTCTTCGAGAGTCAAAGGAAAAATGACGAGAGAGAGGGTACATATAATAAATTCATTATTAATAGATGACCAAGTTGATTGTTTTGGAGCTGGGTGACAGGTACTAGAATGCAACAGCGATCGAAGAAACACCTCAGAGAAAAACAAACGGCCTTGAAGGTGAAGTACAATACATTCCATCGCAACGTAGAGAAGTTTAATCAGCAATTCCCATCGCCGAGCCCGATCAAATGCCCACCATACGAAGATATACAAAGATTGACATTGGATGATCAGTTCTGGGACATCGGCCAGCTGAAGCATCCAGGAGAACCTTGGGCCGTTGATCCGGATACTAGAGATGGAATAAGGGCATACCTTGATATGACCCATGCACAGGATGAATTAAGCCAAATCGGTCGTGAGTGTAGACAATCGGCGAAATGGGCACTAGACATCAAAGAAAAACTATCAGTGTTATCATCAGCTCTAGTACAGTCCGAAGGTCAGTGTTGTGAGATTATCAATGAAGTGCTGTAGTGAATACTGACCTCAAGATCTTAACAGACAATGACCCGACCACTATGGAAAACAAATGGATTGTCAGCATAGTTGGTTTGACAAGGGTAATGCCGGTTGAGCGATTGCAGATTAGCAGGAACGTTGTACAATCATTATACGCACGGCTGAAACAAGACCACGCCCGATTGTGTATGGTGTGGGACATGAAGATGGATGAAGTGATGCGTAAAACGAGGTGTTTGAGTCGCCTTTCAGAAGAGGAAGAATTATCGATCCAAATGCGGTGGGCTGCGTTGGTGGAAGGCATCCACTCAAGCTGATATCCTGGAATCGACCCCTCTGGATGAAGCTGAACTAGCCGAATTAGAATTGGACCTTCAAGAAGATGAAAACAATGAGTATGAGGGATTCCATGTGATGGGTTTTGTTGGAATCGATGAGATTGAGGAGGAGGAGGGTGTGGATGAATCGGAAGAGATTGTAGGGGATGAAGTGCAGCCGCAAGACGGAGTGGTTGTGAGTTGAGGAATGGATAGAAATTTGATCAGTCTCAAGTGTTTCCTTCATACAATGAGATGAGGTGTGCAAATGAGAATGCTTTCAGAGGGAAAGACTTACTCAATTATCTGTTGATATCGAATATGATACCTGGTTTGTGGTGCAATATGATAGAGTGAGTGAAATGATGGTGTTGTTGGACTAGTCCTTGAGCTGTGTGATGGCCTTGTGATCGACTACTCAAGAGGACTGTGAGATTGCCTTGTACTCAAAGTACCGACCTACTACTTGGGGTCCGATACTGATGGATAACTCTGAGCTCTCTGAGTGAGTTTCCAGAGCGCTATGAGTGAGTTCCAGAGCGCTCTGAGTGGGTTCCAGAGCGCTCTGAGTGGGTTTCAGAGCGCTCTGAGTGACTTCAAGTTTTTGTTGGAGTGGAAAAAAAATGGGGATAGGTATAATTGAAGGGCACATCTTTGATAGGCATAATCCACTGAAAAACATTGGAAAACTTGAGTTTTGAATGACTTGTGGGGGAAAAGGTGGTGCTCCAGGACCAGAGCGTCTGGCGTGCTCTGGGGCTAAGCTCCGGCTTCTAGTCCAGTCAAAAGGTACACTGTACAGTCGACTTACATGTCAGTTCGAACAGGTGCCACAGGTGTAAATGGGGTAGCTGTACCAAAATTTGGACCAAGAGCGTTTGAGGCAATTATAGTGGCGAGACAGAATGGGACAAGTGGTAGTGGAGCAACAACACAGTAAGTCAAATTAGGAGATTGATTTGTTCTAGCTAGACATTTCCGTTTTGTGGCATTTCTATGTCAAACAATGATACATGTGAAATAAACGTATCAGCAGACTAAGAATCTTTGAGAGTTGTGAGTGAGAAACTGGGTCAAGTTTGAATTGTTACGTGTCCCATTATAGATCAAGTGAACTTCACAGATCAACATACCATGTCGTGAGCAATCCTTTAAGTGAGAATCTCTTTGGAAAAGAACCGTCCACACCCGAAGAGACACCAGAACAGTGTCAACAAAAAGAAAAACCACAAGGAAAAAAGCAAGCACAGCCCCCAACTACTGGTCACTGGCAGGCCAGTACATCCGATGCAATACCGCAAGCGCTGCGCACTTTAATGCGATTGTGGAGCGGTTGCGTAGTGTTTTTGGGCACCGCAATGGCACCGCTATATGTAGCGGTGCCAGCGCTCCGCAACCCGGGCTCAAAGAACCCGGTCCTAGGGAAAACCGCACCGCAATTGCGGTATTGTACCGCTATATCATTAATGTTAAAGGGAAACCGTGTTCGCCGGCAAAACCCAATTAAACTCCCAATCAGTACTCCAAAATTGAAGGTTTACACGCTCACTAGATTTAACCCAATTTCCACGCGCCTTAGAGCACCCACTATGGTGGGCGTGTTTTATCGTAAATTTTGCGGTCCCGACCGCAAAATTCAATCATGCGTGTAACAACTAAATTAGTAAACGCATAAAAACCACTATGAGCTGCTTTACGACCTGATTTACCAACGATAAATCACTGTGAGTCAACCAGATCCACAGTGGTATGATCTTGAAATGAATCATCACATTCCTCATAATCTTTTCCCAAAGATCAATTATCTCAGAAGTCTTCAAATAGCAATAGGAACAACAATAATAACATCAACTAGTCTTGACTTCTTGTTTGATAAACCTCGCATACCACCTCCGCTTCCTCGCACTCAAATCTGAATTGATCGAGACTTATCAAGACTGCACTCAACGTGCTCGGAAACTATATAAGTTTTCAAGTTTGAACTTTGAAGTCGAGGTGTCGAGGTCTGAACGTTGAGATTTGAAGTCTTGAATTGTGGAGTTTGGGATTTGATGTTTTGGAAAAGGCAGTTGTTGACCGATTATCGTACGATAAATCAAGTCGTAGGCTTGCGTAGATCTGAGCACGCGGGGTGCAAGATTTAACGCAGCAGTACGGACTGCATGTCTAAAACAGGTCCGTAGTGGACCTGTCTGGATTTTAGCATTACGGTAACGCTAAATCACCTCGTTAACGCACCCATAGTGGGTGCTCTTACCCCCAATCTCTTCCTCACTCCTCTGAACAAATTGTTTCTTCACCACCTTCTACCAATCTTATACCCACCAGACCACTCAATCTGAGTAGTTATCTGCCTGTTTTCAAGATCAAGAACAAAATGAAATGACAAAATTAGCTATCAATACCTTCAAACAGATTCATCAACACCTTTAAAAGAACACAGCAACTTCAACTTCAAACTTACGCTCCAATGAAACTCTTTCAATCTCATTCCACTTGACAAATCATCAAACACAATTTCAAACTGAATTCAATACACTTCATGAACAAGTCAAGTTGTCATCCAATCTCACTAACACATTTGACAAACTGTTCACTCATTTGGTCATAACTACAACTTACAAACTCTTGATCAGATTTGGTTGATCATTACCTAGATCATGGCAAACTTTTGGTCGACATCCTTTCATTTTTGATTTAAGCAGAAGTGTAGTGCAACTTCATCAAACTTACCTCTGTAACTGCTGTTGTCTTTTTCTTTTTGAAACAGCTCATTATCATCCTTCAAAATTCCAACTCTTCTTCTTCAAATGATGTTTGCAAATTTCCCTCAGTGAATTCAAATCCAATGATCAAAATAATATCTAAAACGGACGCATATCAATGTCTTACCCAATCTCATCTATCACTTCTCGTGGAACCAGGCATAGCTCGAACCTACCTCCAATATGGTCAGATGGCGCCTCCACCAGATTCAGATTATCAATCATTCTAACTTTCTAACTGAGAGTTTACCAATCTTCTCATTATCAATCAGGTAGTCTTATAGCCTTGCTGGAATCCTCAATTCCTGATGATGATGTTTTTGCTGGCGATATGGTTCGCATCAAGCTTGCTTTTTATTCTCAATCTTCATCCTCTTTGAGCTGACCTCT